TTCACCTTGAAGAGCCACCGGCCATGGACTACGTTCACCCCAGGTGGGGGAACTGCATCGACGTAGGTGCCGTTAGCCCTCCAAGATGCCATCTCCTGCTCCATGGCAGCTATCCACTGAGAGGCCCAGGGTCCCGAGGTCGCCTCAGCGTAGGTGCGAGGGGTCGGGATGTCAAGGGCGTCTGGGTCACCCTCAGGGACTAGCAGCATGGAGCAGAGATGGGGAGCAGCCTCTGAAAGGAAAGCAAGCTCGTACTGCCGGTCCTCCAAGATGTCACTGCCGAGGGCACGAGCACACTTGATGGACGGAGGACAGGCAAGGTCGGAGACCAGAGCGGTGGCGTAGTCAAGGCAGCGGGTAGAGGCGAAGTCAGCAACAGCAGCCACAAGAGCGTCAAGACGCGAAACAGGAACAGACGGGTCGGTAACGAGGGAGGCAAGGACCCGAGGAACAAGAGGACGAGCGGCTCGAAGGTAGTCTGACAGGGGAGGCGCGACGACAAGGGAGGGCGGAGGAGGCGAAGGCAGGAGGGGAGGACGAGACGCGTGGGAACGAAGCAACATAGGGTGAGAACGCTGAACAGGAGAGACAGGACAAGCACAAGAGGGACGGCCAGACCAGACGTGAGATGGAGGCGTCGGGTCAGGAGACAGAGGAGGAGTAACAGGAGGGGAGCGAGAGGGGAAACGAGCCGGGGACGAGTCCGGCGGAGGAAACACAGGACCGTGAATAGGAAGAGGGGAGACGGCGAGGGAGGCAGAGGCGAGCGGTCAGGGGAGGGAAGGCCGAGCAGGCAAAGGGCGGACACCAGCTGCGACTGCTGCTGTTCGACGCCGACACCTGGACCACTAGCTGCACCACTGTTACCTTCGGTACACTCCACGCCAGCACCCCCAGAACGAAAAACGTCTCCAGCGCCGGTGCCACCCTTCGAGCCCGCCGGGACAAGCCACGACAAGAGCCCCAGGACTAGCACCCTCTCCAACTCCAGCACCCCCAGAGTCCACGAATGGCTGCGGCTGCGTCGACGGCTGCGGCTGCGGCTGCGGCGGCGGTGACGGCGGCGACTGCGACGAGGGAGCAGGAGACACTGGGGGAGGGATAGGCAGCGCAAACTGCGCTGCAGGGCCACCGGAGTCAGCCGACTCCTCGACCGGGACAACCGACGGGATGGGAGTGACGTGAGACATACCGGACAGAGCAGGGCGGGGAGGGAAGGGAGCAAGGGCGACAGGGGGAGTGGGAACCAGAAACAGGGGATGGGAAACCGGGAGACCTCGGTGAGGAAACCGATGGAAAAAGGAGACAGAGTCGTTGAAAGTGACGTCACGGGAGTAAAGGAAGCGGTGAGACGACGGGTGGTAGAAGTGCCAGTCAGACGAGTCAAGGGGGAAACCGAGGAAGACACAGGGGACGGTGCGGGCAGTGAGCTTGTCCGTGCCGGAGGCACGAACGTGAGCGAGGCAGCCCCAGACGTGGAACGCAGACGCGTCACTAGGGAACCCGGTCCAAAGAAGGGTCGGCGAAACCTGCGGCCGCTGAGAGTGAGGCCAGTGGTTAAGCTGGTGAGCGACGTAGCGAATGGCGAACGGCCACAGAAAATGGGGTGCACCGGCATGGATCATGGAGGTACGAGCCACCTCCATGACCATACTAATGCGTCGCTCAGCGACCCCATTCTGCTGCAGGGAGTCCGGTAGGGTGTATGTCTGGGTGATACCCTCCGTACGACAGAACTGACCCAGTCGACCAGAGGCGAACTCGCCGCCACGGTCGGAGTGGAGACACAGCACAGGGAGACCGCGGTGGAGGCGCGCAGCGACGAGCCACGGGATAAGATCATCAGGCACGTCGGCCTTCCGCTCCAGGGGAAACACCGTGATGTAGCGCGGGAAGTGGTCAACAAGCACCAGAAAGTAGCGCTCGCGACGCGGTCCAGGGACAGGGGCTGGGCCACAGACGTCCAAGTGCAGGGTCTGAAGGGGTGCAATGGCAGGGCGAAGTGAGGAGGTGTGAGGAGCATGGCGCAGGCGGCCCTTGACACAGGGCGTGCACGGCGGTGCAGGCGAGGGAGGGAGAGCAGGGAGCGACGCAAGGAGGCCGAGGACTGGACCGTGCTGAGACATGTGACGCATGTGGGGGAGCGCAGGCTGACCTAGACGGTGGTGCCACAACAGTAACTGGTGAGTGACCGACCGGCACGAGCAGGCCGCAGCTACCTGGGTGGATGCAGAACCGGAGGAGGACTCGCCCGCCGGGGGGGGAGCAGTGTCCAGAGTAAACAGGCCAGACACAGGGTCCCGGGGGAACGTCGCAAGGGGGGCACCTGAGGCGGCCTCAGAACAGACTGCGTACCGCTCGTGACCAAGGAACGTAGTGGTGACGCCAAGGTCCTGAAGTCAGCCGACACCAACTAAGTTCCTGGAGAACGAAGGGATGTGCACGCCTGTAAGGGAACCCGAGGGAACCGCCGGACAGGGAAGGGTAGTGTAGCTGTGAGCAACTACAGGACCAGAGAAGGGGTCCGCAAGGGCGACAGCGGCAGGCGCAGCGAGCGGCGTGAGTGTGGCGTGGTCGCGGAAGAAACAGGCTGACGCACCGGAGTCTAGAGTGAAGGACTGCGATGCCGTAGTGGCCGACGACACTCGAAGCGACAGCATACAGAGAATGCAAGGCATAACAAATCTGATCCATGTCTAAGTCAAACACAGGCACACCGTGGCGCAGCAGGCTAGGCCAGTCAGGGAGGTCCGGGGCGGGACCAAAGCGGCGACGGAAGAGGTCGTCGAGGCGGCGGAAGCAGCGGGCGGTGGGGTGCAAGCGGCGGCACACCGTGCCACACAGGGGCCCGGTCTGAAGCTGGTACTGGCAGCTCACAGCACCGAAGCTGCGAGGGCCACCACCACGACCACCACCGACAGGGGCTCCTGGCCACCCGGGCGGGAGACGAGCCCACAGCTGCTGCTGGGACGGCTGCTGCTATTGCGGTGGCTGCGACTGCTGTTGCTCCTGGGCACCAGCACCAACCCCCTCGTCAGAACCACTGTCCCCGCCACCATCACCACTAGCGCCACCTCCAGGTCGTCCCTTGGGGCCACGGCGGCCCCGGCGCTGGCGCTGCTGCAGGTACGCCGCAGCTGCTGTCTCAGGTGCAGGCGCAGTCGTGGCAGCTGCGGCGGAGACGTCAGCGTACGTGCACTGGGAGGGCGCACAGCCCTGAAAGATAGGGGCTGCCGCAACACCGCTCGACTGAGCAATAGTGCGCTGGCGAGTCTCTATCTCAGACAGAGTAGTGACAAAGGCGGTCAGGGTGAGGTCGGCAGGGTGCTGACTAAGGAAGTGGTCGCGGGCAGTGGCTAAGCCGTAAGGCAGGCGCATGGTGTTGAGGTATAGGGTAGCGCAGAAAGGTGGGGGAAAGGCATTAAGCTGGGCAGCAGAGCTAGCAGCGCGGTAGCTGGTCTCTATTGCACAGAGGTGAGTAGCGAGGTCAGCTACCGTGGGGAAAGCAGAAAGATCAGGGAAGAGCATGGGTAGGATGAAGCGGCCAGCAGAGGCGGAAGCAAGTGTGGAGTAACGCTCAACTACTGCAGCGAGAAAGTCCTTGGCGTTCGCGACAACGGTAAAGCGCGGACGCTCAGACAGGGGGAGGGCATGGCTAATGGCAAGCTGGGCTACTGTGTCACGAGAATCCCAGACAGCTCGAGCAAGCGCAGCAGCAGCAAAAGCATCAGGGACACGGCGACACGGTGGCTCGGCGGCTCAGCGGCGCCGGTGCTCGGCGGCTCGGGGACACGGCGGCACGGCGGCTCGGCGGCTCGGCGGCACGGCGGCACGGCGGCTCGGGGACATGGCGGCTCAAGGGGCCGGCTAGGGCAAAAGGGGCCGGCTAGGGCGAGCGGGGTCGGCAAGGGCGCGTGGGGCCGGCTAAGGACGCAGGGGGGGCGGTAGGAGCACGAGGGGCCGTAATGGCGCGCGGGGCCGGCTAGGGGCGCAAGTGGCCGGTAGGGGCGCGACGGGGCCGGCTAGGGGCGCGATAGGGCCGTAGGAGCGCGACGGGGCCGGTAGGGGCGCGACGGGGCCGTCTAGGGGCGCGACGGGGCCGTAGGGGCGCGATAGGGCCGTAGGGGCGCGACGGGGCTAGCTAGGGGCGCGACGGGGCCGGCTATGGGCGCGAGGGGCCATATGGGTGCGACGGGGCCTGCTAGGGGCGCGACGGGGCCGTAGGGGCGCGACGGGGCCGTAGGGGCGAGACGGGGCCTGCTAGGGGAGCGACGGGGCCGTAGGGGCACGACGCGGCCGTAAGGGCACGACGGGGCCTGTTTGGGGCGCGACGGGGCCGTAGGGGCAAGACGGGGCCATAAGGGCGCGACGGGGCCTGTTGGGGGCGCGACGGGGCTGTAGGGGCGCGCGGGGCCAGCTAGGGGCGCGAGGGTCCGGTAGGTGGCGGCACGGGGCGGAAGCGGGTGGGTGGACCTACCTACTCGTGATACCATGTTAAGACTAGAAAGAATGAATAGGGGAAGGGAGAACAGGGGAGTTAATAGCGTTTGGGCTGTACCCTATCTAACCTATAACTTCTACATAACAATATACCGTATGTATAAGTTGACACCCAGGACCACTTTTCGGAATACTACAATTTCATATTTGCGTTCCATCGCTCTCAACCACATAAAACCAGCTGGCGTCGAAAATTTAATGTGCAGATTCGCGCTTGTCTGAAAATCTGCTCGTCTGAAACGAGGTTTTAAAACACGCCCCTGAATCTCGGGAAGCCGAATCTCACTTCGCACTTCGCGGAATCGCACTGAAACTTTTCGCGTCAAAATTTGCGACACTATAGCACACGAGTCTGGGAAGAGGTTGCTCTCAACTTACACATATGATGTTATTTAGGCTAGATAGGTGTATGTTCTTAGTGGGTACAACACCAACACTATATCTCTCTTGTTCTCCCTTGTTTCAATTATCCTACCGTAAACGCCCGGAAAGAAGACCCCTATGTCTTATCATATACCGACCTAAGAAGTGGTGAAATTTCTTATAAATGGAAAAAACCAGGGGGGGGTGTGTATCTTATAAATGAAAAAAAAACATATAAATGTAGCACAGAGTTTAAGGGCTGGAAAAAAATCAAATTAGGGTTTTGGGGATCGTGTGTCCATAATTCGACAACGAAACACTTAACAAAGGGGGGATTTCTCATGCACGCCGCAATCGTTACAGCATGCCAGCGTGACGCCAGGGGGAATGCATGTACTGCAGTGTCACACCAGCTGGCAGTGCCCGTTACGTGCTGGATGGCGAATGATGCTCTTCACAGCAGCATCTCAGCTTCTGGATGCTGCTCCTCATCGAGATGTGATTCCTCTTCGATGAAAAACGCGCCCCGGGCCTGAGCTCTCGGAGGGGGGTGTACCTCTCATTTTTCATTATGTTCTCATTTCACTTGGAAACTCTGCTCCCCTGCCTTAGCTCAGCGTCCTCCCCTGCCTTAGCAACGCTTCCTCCCCTGCCTCGGATTTCTAGCCTGCCTCAGCTCGGCTAGTGTCATTGCGTGCCACCATGCGCAACAAGCATCCACCTCAGGACAAGGCGTCAGGGTTTAGGCAGCTCGGAACTAATCCCTCACCACCCCGCATTTATGTCACCATTTTTGGGCGCCACAACTCCCCTGGCCATACGCTGAATATCCGAGACACCGCTGCCAAGAAAACCTCGTCCTCGCCTGCCAAGAAACCCTCGTCGCCGCCGCCCGACTATGGGATGGCTGGAATGGTCGAGGGGGAGGACGACAACGCTGAGGACGGTGGCTCTGCCAACGCCTCTGATGACGACTGGTGGGCAAAACCCATCGGTTCCGCGGAGGAGGTTGAGGAATGGTATGCTGGCGAGGAGGATGAAGATGATAACCAAGCGGACGAGATGGCAGGCGACGAAGAGCATGACGGTGATTACGTAGAGGAATACGGTCGTGATGACAACAATGAGGAGTGCGGCATATGCGAGGAGGGTGCAGCAGAGGAGGTGGAGGACGGGGATGATGGCGAGGCAGCTTGCTACAACATGGGTGATGGTGACGACGTGAGCCACGGCGACGACATGGGGAGTGACGGCATGAGTGAAGAAAATGTTCCGATCGAGAAGCGCCATGTGAAGTGGATGGTTGACTCCAAGGTGAAGAAGCAGTGATTGCTGCATCGAGAATGGTGCTACTGCAACAAAGAAGAAGCGGAGTGCAGAACCTGACGAAGTCTCTCCCAAGCGGCAACGATACACAGCAGCGGAGAAGGGCAAATCTAAGGCGGACGACATCCCACAGTCAACAAAGCGAAAGAATTCGTCATTGTGTGGTCCCCGGAAGGCCACAAAGCGGGCTGACGTATCTACTCCAGACGCGGTCCCCGAAGATAACTCAGATGCCCAGCCGCCGTCTCCGCGAAACCGACTCTCGAAGAAGTGTCGTCGTAGCTTCACCGTGCAGGAGAAGACGAAATGGGCCCGCCGCTATTACGAGCTCAAGTCCTTCAAGCGGACTGCGGCGGAGGCGGGCGTGGGCCCGTGTTCCATCAAGCGGTGGGTGGACCAGCGGATGCTTGGGCGGTACAGGGGTGCCGCCAAGTGTCGCAAGCGACTCCGCGGTGCAGGGCGGCATGCTCATCACCATGTCATGGAGGAGAAGCTGTACAAATGGATCTGCGAGCAGCGGGGACTCGGCTTGGCGGTCGGCGTGAAACAGAGCTGTGAGTGGAGCCTCAATTACATGCGCAAGCAGCAGCCGAAGGGCCATTGGCAGGCGTCCAGCCGCTGGAGCCAACGGTTTCGCAAGCACTGGGGATTCACCATGCGCTGCCGCACCAAGGTCGGCCAAAAGCTCTCTCCAGGTGAGCGTTTGCTTGCGTTCCCTTGTTGGCTGATTGTCTCTGCTTGCTGGACTCATCGCCCATCCCCGCTCTTTCTCTAGCTTGCCGTGCATGCGGTATCGACGGTTCCGCTAGCTGAACAAGGTCTGATCTCTCATCCCCCTCTCCCTCCCCCTCCCCCTCCTCCTCCTCCCCCCCACCCTTGTCCCTCTTCCCCTATTAACAGAGTGCGCCCAGGATTGTGTGGGGTTCTGGAAATTTGTCTGAATCAACCGCGCCCGCCACAACATTGACATGCGCCGCATCATCAACGCGGATCAGACGCCGCTGTTTGTCAAGATGCCAGTGGAAAGGACCCTGGAGCACAAGGGATCGCGCTCCGTTCCAGTGAAGAGTGCGGGATACGAGAAGCAACGTCTGACGGTGATGCTGGCTTGCGCGGCGAACGGGGACAAGCTCCAGGTAGGTTGGCCTTTCCCCCTTTTGCATGCCCTCCTTCCTGTGAGTCCTCTACCATAGTCAGACCACAAAGCTTGGCTATGTATGCATGGCAGGTGTGCAATCATGACTCTGTTTCTTAATTGCACCTGCCTTGTTCCCTTGTATGTGTGTGTGTGTGTGTGGCAGGCGTCGAGGTTCAAGCGCAGGTCAACGGCTGGATGGACGAGGAGGCTGTAAAGAAGTGGCTTTTGAAGGAAGTGCTGCCGTTCCTAAACCCCAAGTGTGGATCAGGCGCCCAACAAAGCATGCTGGTCTTGGATTCCTATAGGGGCCATCTCACTAACGGGATGAAGGCCGCCTACAGGACACACAGTATTGTACTTGCAATAATCCCAGCTGGATGTACCCCCCTTATTCAGCCCCTTGACGTGTCTGACAGCAGGTGCTTCAAAGCGGGAGTTTGCGCTCGGTACGCCAAATGGTTCGCGAAACACGACCTAAACTTGAGGACTCCGAGAGGTACGGTATTTTGCTACCCTGTACACATCTTTGTAGCTGTATGTCATACCCATTATTTCTGCTTACCAGGATTCACTTTGAATGCCTCTGTCTTTTGTGCCCCCAAATCCAACAGGGAACCTTCGACGCCCACCTCATGCGGTCGTGCTGAAATGGGTCGACGAGGCGTGGAGGGATGTCCCCCGTGACGTCATCGTCCGCGCGTTCAAGACGTGCGGCATCTCTAGCTCCATGGATGGCACCGACAACTACCTTGTGCTTCAACACATGCGCGAAGAGCCCGTGATCAACGTGTCGGAGGACATGTCCCTGCGGGGCACAACTGGGGACAACAGCAGCTTTGTGGCGGGGCAGTAGAGGGGGAAGGAGAAGGAGGAGGGGGAGGCGGAAGGGGAGGAGGATGAGGTGATGGAGGAGGAGGAGGAGGAGGAGGAAGAGGAGGAGGAGGAGGAGGAGGAGGAGGAGGAGGAGGAGGAGGAGGAGTAGGAGGAGGAGGAGGAGGAGGAGGAGGAGGAGGAGGAGGAGGAGGAGGAGGTGGAGGAGAACCTCGCGGAGCGAGACCCGTACCCCGAGACAGAGAAGTGTCGCGGTGCTGCAGCAGAGGCAGACAAGCTGCATGAGCCTGAGAGTACTGAGCAGCATGCTTGGGGGGTGCCTGACTTCCGAAAGCCCGCCCCTGTAGAAGTCGTTGATGAGGACGACTGTGATTTCTCGATGATGGACACTTTTGAGGATTTTTAGACCCTTTAGTGTGTGTGTAATCGTTGTCTGATGTTAGCCTTTTGGACAATACAGGGTGTTAACACATGCGACACTGAAACAGCCTTGAAAGCAATGTAGGGTATCTTATCTCATACCTCCCTCGAATTAGTATCTTATAAATGGAAATGCCTAATACAAGACACTATATCTTCTATTCCATGGGGGTCTTCTATCCGTGCGTTTACGGAAGTATTCTAACATGGTATCACGCTTAGGTTAGTTCCCCCCCCCACCCGCTTCCGCCCCGCGCCCTAGCCTACCGCGCCTCGCCGGCCCCCAGCGCGCCCGCCGGCCTCTAGCGTGCCCGCCGTCCCCTCGCACCGTAGCCGGCCCCCTAGCGTGCGCGTTGGCCCCCCCCCCCCCCCCTCCCCCCCCTCCTTCGCGACCAGCCGGCCCGCCCTTCGCGCCGTCGCTGGCCCCTAGCGCCCTAGCTGGCCCCTCGCGTCTTCACCCGCCCCTAGCGCCCAGCCGGCCCCCTTCGCGACCAGCCGGCCCGCCCCTCCCGCCGTCGCCAGCCCCTCACGCCGTCGCGGGCACCTGGCGCCCTGGCTGGCCCCTCGCGTCGTTGCCCGCCCCTAGCGACCAGCCGGCCCCTTCGCGCCTAGCCGGCCTGCCACTCGCGCCGTCGCCAGCCCCTCGCGCCGTCGCCAGCCCCTCGCGCCTTCGCTGGCCCTTTCACGCTTAGCCACCCCGCCATTCACGCCGTCACCGGCCCCTCGCGCCTAACCGACCCCTCGTGCCAAGCCGGCCCCTCGCGCCTAGCCGGCCCCTCGCGCCTAGCAGGCCCCTCACGCCTAGCCGGCCCCTCGTGCCCAGCAGGCCCCTCGCGCCTAGCTGGCCCCTCGAGCCCAGCGGGCCCCTTGCGCCCAGCGGGCCCCTTGCGCCCAGCGGGCCCCTTGCGCCCAGCCGGCCCCTTGCGCCCAGCCGGCCCCTCCCACCTAGCCGGCCCCTACAACCTGGCCGGCCCCTACCACCTGGCCAGCCCCTACCACCTGGCTGGCCCCTACCACCTGGCCGGCCCCTACCACCTGGCCGGCCCCTACCACCTAGCCGGCCCCACTCCTGTGCGCCTCCAGCCCCATGCGCCCTACCGGCCCCTCTCCGCATGCCGCACGCCCTCCTCGACCTTCCTTTCGGTTCAGTTCCGGAGAGTCCTGCCGCCGTGCCGCTGAGCTCTTGTGCCGCACTGCCTCCGTGTCGCTGAGTCCCCGTGCTGCTGTGCCGCTGTGGTTGCGCGATGGTGGACGCCATGCTCTGTCTGGACGCAGAGGGGCACGCAATCGACTTTGCCGCCTGGCTTGTCGATCTCCGCCAGTGCGCCAGGATGGGCACTCCCTGGCTATGCATGTTGATGGCTTGCTTCCCCACCCCCCTGCGCCTGATCTCCTCCCTGCTGACCCCACCATTGCTGAGAGTGAGGCCTTTGCTGCTGCGGCGCTAGCTCGCGCTGTCTGGGATTCTCGTGATGCTGTAGCGCAACTTGCCATCAGTCATGCGCTTCCCTTTTCTGAGCGTCCGCGTTTCACTACTATCGTGAACGCCAAGGATTTCCTAGATGCAGTAGTTGCACGCTACTCCACGCCTGACTCCGCCTCAGCTGGCCACTTGATCCTCCCCATGCTCTTCCCTGATCTCTCTGCTTTCCCCATGGTTTCTGATCTTGCCACTCACCTTCGCGCACTAGAGGCTAGCTACCTTGCCGCTAGCACTACTGCACAGCTCACTGCCTTCCCCCCACCATTCTGCGCTACCCTGTACCTTATTGCCATGCGCCTCCCTGACCGCCTAGCCACTGCCTTAGCCAGCACCCAGGTGACCTCACCCTGACCGCCTTTGTCACTACCCTTTCTGAGATAGAGACTCGCTAGCGCACTATCGCTCAGTCGAGCGGTGTTGCGGCAGTCCCTATCTTTCAGGGCAATCGCGATCTTTCGGCGGCCTTCCCACAGCAGCAGCGCCAGCGTCGGGGCTGTCGCGGCCCCAAGGGAGGGCGTGGTGGTGGTGGTGGCGGCGACAATGGTTCTGACGAGGGGGCTGGGACCGGTGTCCAGGAGTAGCAGCAGCCGCCGCAGTCACAGCAGCAGCAGCAGCAGCCGTGGGCCCACCTCCCGCCAGGGTGGCCGGGGGCCTCTGGAGGTGGTGGCTGCGGAGGCGGTGCTCTCAGCTCGGCGTCTACCAGCAGTTTCGGTGCAGTCGGCTGCCGGTACCAGCTCCAGACTGGGCCCCTCCATGGCACTTTGTGTCGCCACCCGCACCCGACTGCCCGCTGCTTCCGCCGCCTTGACGACCTCTTTCGTCGCCGCTTCGGCCCAGCTCCGGACCTCCCTGACTGGCCCAGCCTGCTGCGCCATGGTGTCCCTGTTTTTGACTTAGATATGGATCAGATTAGTTATGCCTTGCATTCTCTGTATGCTGACGCTTCAAGTGTGTCCGGATCTTATTACCCCGTGTTCTCTAGCTTAGGCGTAGCAACTGTGTGTAGTACAGACTCCCCTACTGCGTCAGGTGTAGGACCATTTGCTTTGTCTAGCCTAGGTTCCCCACTTGCTCCTCCTTTGTCTACTACTACTGCTTCGTTGTGCTTCACACTCGACTCCGGTGCATCTGCCTGCTTCTTCCGCGACCATGCCGCACTCACGCCGCTTGCCGCGCCTACCGCTATCACCCTTGCTGACTCCTTGTTTGGTCTTGTTGTTGCTCGCAGCTACACTACCCTCCCTTGTCCAGCGGTCCCCTCGGGCTGCCTTACGGGCCTGCACATCCCCTCGTTCTCCCGGAACGTAGTTGGTGTCGGCTGTCTTCAGGACCTCGGCGTCCCCACTACGTTCCTGGGTCACAAGCGGTACGCCATCTGTACCGAGGCTGCCTCAAGTTCCCCCCTTGCGATGTTCCCCCTGGACCTAGTGTCTGGCCTCTTTACGCTGGACACTGCTTCCCCCTCGGTTGGACCGTCCCTCCCAAGTCCTGCATCTACCACGGTCGCCGCTGCGTGCTCGTGTCGGTCGCTCACTCACCCATCACTTCTATGGCACCACCGCCTAGGGCACTCCGCACTCCCGCGTCTGCGTCACATGTCCCAGCACGGTCTCGTCCTAGGTCTCCCCGCGATGCTTCTTGCCCTCCCTCCCTCCCCTGTGGCGCCGTGCACGCCCTACGCCCTCACTCTTCCTCACTTCGTCCTGCCACCGCACCCCTACATACCATGCACTTGGATGTCTAGGGCTCCGCCCCCGTCCCCGGACCGCGTCGCGAGCGCTAATTTCTAGCATGGACAAGCTTACTGCCCGCACTATCCCTTGTGTCTTTCTCGGTTTCCCCCTAGACTCGTCTGACTGGCACTTTTACCACCCGCCGTCTCACCGCTTCCTTCACTCCCCTGACGTCACCTTCGACGAGTCTGTCTCCTTTTACCACCGCTTTCCCCACCAAGGTCTTCCGGTTTCCCCTCCCCTGTTTCTGGTCCCCACTCCCCAGGTAGCCCCTGCTCACCTTCCTCCCCGTCCAACTCCGTCTGGTGTGTGTCACGTCACTCCCCTCCCATTGGTTGTCCCGGTCGAGGAGTTGGCTGACTCTGGTGGCACTGCCACACAGTTCTTGCCACCCGTCTCTTCCCCGGTTTATCCTCCTCCACAGTCGCCGTCGCCGCAGCCGCCACCGCCGCCGCAGCAGCCGCCGCCGCCGCCGCAGTCGCAGCAGCAGCAGCCGTTTGTGGCCTTTGGGGGTGCTGGCATTGAGGAGGGTGCTAGTCCTGGGGATCCTGTTGTGGCTTGTCCCGGTGAGCTCGGGGGTGGCACCGGTGCTAGAGAGGGTTCCCGCTCTGGGGGTGCTCATTCTGGGGGTGCTGGAGTGGAGTGTTCCGGAGGTAGCTGCAGTGCAGCTGGCGGTCCAGCTGTCGGCGTCGAGCAGCAGCAGCAGCAGCAATCGCCGTCGGTGTCCGCCCTTCGCCTGCTCGGCCTTCCCTCCCCTGACCGCTCGCCTGTGCCTCCCCCGCCGTCTCCTCCCCTTCCTGTCCACGGTCTTGTGTTTCCTCCACAGGATTAGTCCCCGGGTCGTTTCCCACCTCGTTCCCCTCCTGTTACTCCCCCTCTGTCTCCTGACCCGACGCCTCCGTCTCACGTCTGGTCTCGTCGTCCGTCACGTGCTCGTCCTGTCTCCCCTGTCCAGCGTTCTCACCCCATGTTGCTTCGTTCCCACGCGTCTCGTCTTCCCCTCCTGCCTTCGCCTCCTCCGTCGTCGCTCGCTGTCACACCCCCCCCTCTGTCTGACTACCTCCGTGCTGCTCGTCCTCTTGTTCCTCGGGTCCTTGCCTCCCTTGTTACCGACCCGTCTGTTCCTCTCTCGCATCTTGACGCTCTTGTCGCTGCTATCGCTGACTTCACCACCACCCACCGCCTTGACTACGCCACCGCTCAGGTCTCTGAACCTGCCCGTCCTCCGTCCGTCGGGGGTGCTCCTGCCCTTGGCAGTGACGTCCTAAAGGACAGGCAGTATGAGCTTGCTTTCCTGTTCAAGGCTGCTCCCCATCTCAACTCCATGCTGCTAGTCCCTGAGGGTGACCCAGACGCCTTCGACATCCCGACCCCTCGCACTGACGCTGAGGCGACCTCGGGACCTTGGGCCTCTCAGTGGATAGCTGCCATGGAGCAGGAGATGGCATCTTGGAGATCCACCGGCACCTACGTCGACGCTGTTCCCCCACCTGGGGTGAACGTACTCGATGGCCGGTGGCTCTTCAAGGTGAAGCGTCCTCCTGGAGAGCCTCCTGTGTTCAAGCCGCGCTACGTGGCTCGAGGCTTCAGTCAGCGCGAGGGGGTGGACTTCTTTTAGACCTTCGCCCTGACCCCGAAGATGACCACTCTTCGGGCGCTGCTACACGTAGC